TTTTTTTTCTTTCTTTCTCTCTTTCTCACAATCACTCACGGTTCTCTTCTCTTTGTTTTTTTTTCTCTTGCTCTCTTGCTCACCTCACTCAATCACTCTCGGCTTCAATACACACACCCCTTTTATATTTTACTTAACACATATACACTTTACACCTTTAAACACACACACACATACGCATGACAAATTTTTTTTTCTTTTTTTTTTAAGCCAACACATGTAAAGGTGAATCATTAAATTGAATAATTATGCTTACATCCCCTCAAGTTTTTAAATGATTTCAAAATTGACCCACTAGTATTTTCATACATGAAATTCTTATAAATGGATCTCACTAATATATCACTAATGGGGTCCACATACCCAATGTATGCTCACTCACATCATGCTTATGAAAGATTTAATTTAATTAACCCCTTTACTAATTTTACATAATTACAATTTAGCGCTCAAAATTATATTAATATGCATGCAATGCGTGATTGGGTCTCACAACTCTCTCCCACTAATAAAAATTTCGTCATCGAAATTACTTACCTGCACTAATCAAATGTGGATATTGAGCCCGCATACTCTCCTCAGTCTCCCAAGTTGCTTTCTCCACTGAGTGACTATGCCACAAAACTTTTACCAACGGTATCGTCTTTGTGTGTAGTATTTTCTCTTTCCTACCCAAAATCTGAATCGACTGCTCTACATAGGTCAAATCCTCATCTAACTCCATCAGTTCTGAAGTTAACACATGTGATGGGTCAGACATGTACTTTCGTAGCATAGACACATGAAATACATCATGCAACCTGGACAACTCTATTGGTAACTTCAATCGGTATGCAACAGCTCCAATTCGCTCTACAATGCTGTATGGACCAATATACCTGGGAGCCAACTTCCCTTTCCTGCCAAAACGAATGACCCCTTTCCATGGTGATACCCGTAAAAACACTCGATCACCCACCTTGAATTCTAAGTCACGTTGGTGATTGTCAGCATAATTTTTCTGCCTGCTTTGTGCACTCCGTAATTTTTTTTGTATACTTTAATCTGATCAGCAGTCATCTGTACAATCTTTGAGCCCAATAACTTTCTTTCACCCACTTCACTCCAGCACACTGGAATCCTACACTTCCTCCCATACAAAGCTTCATATGGTGCAACTTCAATTGAACTCTGGTAACTATTATTATAAGCAAATTCAATCAAAGGTAAATAATTACCCTAGTTACCTCGAAGATCCATGACACAAGCTCTCAGCATGTCCTACAATGTCTGGATAGTACGCTCTATCTGTCCATCTGTTTGTGGGTGGAATGTTGTACTAAACTTCAAAGTAGTGCCCAATGTAGTCTGTAAGCTAGGCCAAAACCTCGAAGTAAAGCGTGGATCTCTGTCAGAGACAATAGATACAAGTACACTATGCAATCTCACAATCTTATTAATGTACAATCTAGCTAGCTTGTCAAGAGAATAAGACATTTTAATAGCTACAAAATGAGTAGATTTCATCAACCTATCAACTATCACCCATATAGCCTCATGTCCTTTTTGTGTATCGGGCAAATTACTCACAAAATCCATAGTAATATGCTTCCACTTCCATTCTGGAATTGGTAGAGACTGTAATAACCCGGCTGGTCTTTGATGCACAACCTTCACCTATAGACATACCAAACATCGAGCCATAAACTCAGCTATCTCTTGTTTCATTCCAAACCACCAATAATGCTCTCTCAAGTCACGATACAACTTTGTACTACCTAGATGCATAGCATATGCTGAACTGTGTGCTTCCTCCAGAATCTCTCTTTTTAACCCTGCATCATTAGGTACACATAACCGAGAACCAAATAAAAAAACATCAACACTATTAATAATAAAATCAGTCTTAACCTCTTTCTTCAATTTCTCAACCTGGAGATCAAACTATTGTGCCTCTCTGATCCTGTCCACCAACATTGGTCTCAAAGTCAATGTAGCTAGTAGAGCTGCACTCTCTCCTATCCCCAACTACACTCTCAAAGATTTCAAATTTACAAGTAAACATCTCTGAATCACTCGCAAACTAGCCAATCTATCTGATGATTTCTGACTCAAAGCATCTGCCACAACATTTACTTTCTCTGGCTGGTAATGAATAGTGCAATCATAATCTTTAATAAGCTCAATCCAACGTCTCTGCCTTAGGTTCAACTCTTTCTGGGTAAACAAATATTTCAGACTCTAGTGATGTATATAAATCTCACATGTAACCCCATATAGAAAATGTCTCCACAACCTCAGTGCAAATACAATAGTTGCAAGCTCCAAATCGTGGGTAGGATAATTGTACTCATGTGGTTTCAGTTGTCTAGAGGTATAAGCTACCACTCTACCGTGTTGCATGAACACACAACCCAAACCTTGATGTAAGACATCACTATAAACCACGAACTCATCATTACTTGACGGAATGGTTAATACTGGTGCAGTCGTCAATATGGTCTTTAACTCCTGAAAACTCTGCTCACATCTATCGGACCATTCAAACTTCACACCCTTATGAGTCAAACGGGTAAAAGGCATAGCTATAATGGAGAAATTTTATACAAACCTCCTATAATAACCTGCCAATCCCAGAAACGTCAGTCCAATTGCGAGTCAAGACACCGCAATTGCGTGGTTGTCACTGAGGATTTGTGTTCGGTATCATGGTTATCATTTGCTTCATTCTTCCTGATCCTTGCCAAAGCCTAGTTGTATTGCCTGACAAACCCAAAGAGTCGGAGACGGGTCTTTAAAAAGCGATTGAAGTATGAGTTCATACCCTCACATTGTTGTGTACTTTTTATGCTTGCAAAGAATTTACCTCTTAAATATACTTCCACCGACTTTGACCATTTGAAATAAATTTCTGCTATCCAATTATTATTCTCCAATCCAAATGACTCCACCAACACTTTCCATCGATCCTCAAATTCTTTTGGACTACAACGACCACACATACAATATTTAAATTGTTGAACAAAATTTTTAGCACTAATATTTGACAATGCATTTCTTGTCAAATGCCACCTGCATAATTTGTGTGTTGCATCGGGGAAAACCTACTCTATTGCTTCGACCATGGCCTTATCACCATCGGTCACAACTAAAATAGGCGTCTTACCCTCCATGGCATGAATAAATGTATGCAATACCCAAATGTATGTCACAAAAGTCTCATTTGAGAGCAAGGCGCACCTAAAAATGGATGTTGCGTTATGGTTGTTCACACCTACAAGTATAACAAAAGATTTTTCTATAGGCATTAGTTTGATATGTGGTATCAAATACCAAGACATCACCGAAGCATGCATAGTCAAGCCATGAGGATGAGTCTGCTCAGAACAAACAATTTAGTGAATTATCTTCATGAACACTATAGTTGAAATACAACATAGGGTCTAATTCTTTTTTTCTACTAAACTAGTTTAATGCCCCCTCCCTGTCACCGTCTTAAGGTTATGATCGATGTTTTGTCGCAACATCATTGTACAAATCTTTCAGGGTAAATTCAATATTATAATAACCTCCTCCTTGTTGCACCAAAAAATCCCTTACTTGACTTATATGTATGTCAACATTACGCAATGCATTTGCTTGTTCTCTATTGGGACTCTTCACATGCCTATGCGATCGAAGGAAAGGCACAACACGCGGTGTAACCAATTGGTGATTATGTTCCCGGATGAAGTCCTTTACAACCCACTATTTAGATCCATTGTCATACTATGTTGCGTTACATCCCACCCTTGTTAAGCCTCTTGGTTCCCGAATGCGGTCACTGTGGTCAAGGTGTTTGGGTGCTCAATAACTTTCTCTTGAACAAACCCACCGTCTTGACATTGGAATTTTATTTTTGTTACACTTCAGGCCATCCTCCCAAACACTAAATCCCCAAAATTTTGCATAATTGTTATAAAACTCTCCAACTGCTTCATGTGTAGTGAACTTCATTTGCATTATCTCACCCACTGTCAACCCATCAGCTTTATTTTCCTCTATATCGTGATCAGAAATTGTTTGATCATTTTGCATATGATTCTCATACTCATCATCTATTACGTCAATATAAAGATCTAGTAGTACACCTTTACCTTTGTCACCGATCGTACCCACCATTACTCCACCAATGTAATTACAAAAAAAGGTGGAGTTACAAATTGTTTGCTAATTTTGAGACATTTTTGATCCGATAGTGCAAAATAAATGTTCATTGACTCAATAAACTATTGCATATATTATCACAAATATAGTACTTGAATAATTTATAAATAAACACAATATACCACAAATATAGTACGCACATTTTACAAAATGTTTGATACTTGAGTAAAACGATGTATAGTTGTAGATCAATTGAATCCAATTCGCATCTTTCCTACACTTCTTGTGCTTTAAAGAACATGCGAATGTTGACTTCCTACATAGATTTTTGGATGTACTATAAAGGAAATGGCTGGGTAGTTGGGATATGTACTTGTAATTCAATGAAGTAATTTAATGGCAATTAAGATGCCTTTGTGGGGGTGGTTGGGTCATAAAAATTAGATTCTTAATAACCAAATTTTGATTAAATGGGTTGGACGCACATTGGGTTAACATATCTAGGTTCCAATTTTTTGTTTGATTTTTTCCTGTAAATCGACTCCTAAAAAATGGAACTCTTGCCCACCCACTCCCACTACACATGTCACAATTCTTCAAAGTTTGAAGATAGAATTCATGAGTTTCCTCTCTCAGCCACTCTACCTTTTCTTTTCTGTCACTCCCTTTCCCTCTCTATGCAGATATAACAATATTCATGACCTTCATTTCTCTCTATCTCTGTATGTCTTTATTCCCTCACTCCCTCTCTGTACCATTCATTATTTATTGATATATTGTTTGTTCAAGGCTTACACTGATTCACCATCTAGGTACTCTTCCAATCCAACATTTCATCGGCAACAGTACACGGGGATCTACTCGATTTCATTACTATGAAGGTATACCCTTATGTCATAGATAGAAACGTTTACTAAAATTTATCACACCCACAGCTCCATTGTATGCTGTACACAACAAAAATCATTTCATGGACTTAGGTTTATCTATCAAGCGTGAACATAAAGATTCAACCAAAAATCACGCCCATCACATGTTCGACGCAAAGTCACAATTAATATTTCTCCCTTTTCTTATATGCGAAAAGGATTATACAGTTCTCTTACCAATCGTGTCTATTTTTCTAGGTATTGATATCATATATGCACATTATTGCCATGAAGAGGAAGACAAATGTTGCAGTTAGGAAAAATATGACTGAGAAGCTAGTATCCACTGCATCTTCACATGGTGGTAGCACGGGTGTTAATGCGAAAATAAAATGAAGGGTATGTGCTCTGAACACATATATTACATGGACCAATTCTGCATTATTACATAACAAAAATTTATGCAGTTTGTGTGATGCATTACATCTACTTTTAGCAAATAATGGGTACACGTTGTTCGCCATCAACTGTCATAAAAGTTGTAAATGGGTTAACTGATGATCAAAAACGTGCAGTGAAGGCCATGAGTTTAGAAGGGTTGACTTGCATGAAATGCACTATGGTGGGGAGGAGCTTATGCGAGTGGTTGGTGAAAAAATTTGATCCCGCTACTGCTCTGTTACTTGTACATGATAAATCAATTAAGTTCTCCTCCGAGGATGTTTATTACATAATGGGGTTGTCAAACATAGGCCTTGAGTTGGAGACTGCAGGTTCTTTGGAGCAAACAGAGGAACTTAAAAAATTAATTTTTAATAGAAAGAGGGAGCTCTCGTTGACTACTTTGGTTGGGAAACTGAAAGAATTAAGACATGATTCATTTAGTTTTAGGCACCTATTTGCTCTACTCATAACTATGAACTAGAGCAAATTTGTTTATGATAGTATTATTGAAGGCACACGAAATTTCGAGGAAAAATCACGACGTAATATTTTTGGTTATATCATTGTGCTACTGATAATGCGTTATTTACTTATTTGATAATTCATTGACTACTTTGGAGTAATTTGGATACTAATTTCTTAGTCATACCATCTCTATTACTTACTTGACCGTGATCCATTTGTAGATTTTCTATTTTGAGCGTGTGACACCAGTTGGGAAATCATACATTCCATTTTTGTCCAGGCCATTCCCTCGGATTATGGTTTGGGGGGGATAAAGAAATAGGGCAACGCATGGCGTCACTGAAAAAAATTGGGTGGATACAAAAAAAAAGGGGTAACGTATGATGGCTTATTAAACTCGTTAATTTTATTTTTATTGTTAATTATTTCATAAGGGCATATATTGTTTGTGTACTACTATTAACTAATATTTGGATTATCATAGATAAGGGTAACAATTGAAGAGTCACTAAATGTTCCTGTCCCAGATGTGGGACGCAATGAAAATATTCACGTCCTAGATGTGGGACGCAATGGGAGGACAACAGGCATTTCATACACTCAGAACATGCAGCTTGACGTATGTAGGATATATATGGTGGTAGAACAATATGTTGCAGTATTATTAATTTTTTCCCTGAGTGACACTTCAATGTGTTATGTAGGATTTTAACAAGAGATTGTCAACGGTTGAGATCGCATTGTCTGCATTTCTATCGGACCATGAAGCTTTGTCTGCCAAGTTCACATTTGAATTAAATGAAATTAAAGAGATGTTGGAAACTCTTTCTAAAAAGGTGTATACAAATGGGAGAGAACCACCTACGAAGGAGTGTGGCCACGTGAGTACACAATATTTTTTGTGTTATCCTGTACATGATTATATGTGTGTACTGCTCTGTATATATCATATGTTGTACAATGTGAATCGGAAATTATTGGATGACAATGAAACCGAGGTTAGGGCTGATAGAACCAATGAGGTTATTTAACACATAACTTGTAACCAAGTAAATTTTTTTCTGCACATGGATGAAAAATGACAGATATTTTACTTTCAGGTTGTTGATGGGTTGTGTCTGCATATTACTGATGTTAGTGATGAAGTACGAAATGCAATATGGAACTACATTTTTCATGATAGAATTACTGCAGAGTATGTCACAATTAATACCACTACAGGGTGTATACTATTTCCACTTCTTATGCAAATAATAAATACATGTCGATGTTTACAGTGAGAAGATTGTTCAATTTGACAAATTTCATGCGAGAAGAATGTCAATGAAGTCATTGAGACCCAGACTTTGGTTGTAGAGTGATGTGAGTTATAATGTTTTCCCATATTTGTATACCCAATTTTGAATTAACTGAGCACAGAGTCAATGTATGAAAAACTAAATATGTATAATTTTGTACACAGATAATCAATATCGCGACATACATTATGCCACCCTCAGATATGGGAAACACCAACACACAAAAGGCCATGCGGCATATTCCGACATGGTTCGCGGTAATATACCACAATCAATTTTTGATTTTATGTGCTTTTGTTTACCAGTTCATATTGTGTTTTAATGTTCTATATGTTTTTATATTTGCACTAATCCTTAAATTGTAGCAAACAATCATTGACTATACATTTGAGGGGAAAACTGGTGTTCAACTGCAACGAAAACTCATGCGATTGTGTGATTGATACATTAGGGACATTAACATGTGTAACAAGGTATGAATGTATAAAAACTAAAAATCGAGCTCTATACAAAAGCATCCTTCACAATTAATTATTTATATCACCATAGTGTACTTACTGCAACTCGCACATGTAGATATGTCCCCATTAACGATGGTAAAAAACATTGATACTTATGCGTTGTGGCCATACAACAGAAAGAAGTCCTCCTACCGGATACTTTTCCAAGTTGAACAAGGAAACATATATGACATAAGCAAGTGGATGATGTGATATGTTTAATTTAATTTGGAATGCAAATTATTTTAGTGCTACGCATTCAATGGTGGATTTGCCAAGTGTTACTTATTTCATTGTATGAATGAGTAGGTTGCGTCATTGAGTGAACTAATTTCCCAGATAAATGGACATTCTAAAAGAGTACTTAATACATGGCTCGTGATCGAACCAACTTGGACACCCAAATAGGTGAATGGATACAATTGTGGAATTTACGTTGTTGATATGATCCATGAACCTCGTCTAGGCCAAACTATAATGAAGGTATACTATAAATATGTATAAGTTTTCTTCCATCATCATTGTTTTGCACATGTTATAACACTTAAAATTGTATGTAGCCCTCAAAGTCAAATGTTAGAAAGGATCTTGCAGTAAAGCTGGTTACCCATCCAGACAATACAAAGTGAGATGAAATCATTGGCAAGTCATTGAAGCTCCGGAACAAATTGTCTTCATAACTGGATGCATCCTTATATTTTTGAGACAATGTGTAGACTGACTCCACGTATAGTCGTGCAATGAACTGAGTCTTATAATTCCTGAATGAAGGACGACATAACACATCTTTTGTGATTAGTATGAACAATTAACTTAAGGTAGTAGTTATCCTCTTATGCACCACAGTGAGGACCAGTTGACTTCGTCCATAATGTATTGGGACTTTTGTATATCCAAATTTATGTACCTGTCTCATATTCCTACTCGGATTTCAGTATGGTACCTCATTCATACCTAGGATAAATAAAGTGTAATGCAAAAAGAAATTGAAAAATATGGTACATGTACACACCGTCAAGAATAAATTTTGTTGCGGGGAATTCTATGATACCAAGTATAGAACAAATGTCGGTACCACATTGTTCATGGTAGTGGGCCATGACAAAAAAATAAAGGTAGAATGGAAAAAGAAAAGGACGACTTGAATGGCATTCAAAGCGAATTAAGATCAATAATATATTCTTTTGCGATCAATCTATTTTGAAAGTTGAGAGTTTAACCCCAAATAGTATCAATATTACATTAAAAGATGGTAATTTCATCTCAAATTATTATTAAATTTCATTAATTTAATATTTATTTTGAACCGTTATCTAATTAATATTTAAAATCACCACTTTTAAATTACATTTTATAAAATTGCCACTACATTAACCTTCAGTTTTATTTATTTAATATTTAAAGCATTAAATTAACATCAAATTAAGCTTTAAAGTAATGTTATCACATTTAGAGACGAAAAGTTAATCATTATAGTAAAAAATATCACCTTTTGTGAGTAATATTTAATGACAAAAAATTGATAACCACAAATTTTTTAATGTGTACATTTGAACCCGACCATGTCCATGTTAATGAGATGTTAGTAAAATGTCCAACATAAAGAATGAGATTTTGGACAAATCACCAACATAAAAAGGAGAGAAAGAAAGCAGTCCACACAATTAGAGGAAAATGTTCCCGCCAACAACAATGAGGTTCTTATACAAGTGAAAAAATGGGAAACAACAGATGATAGACATGACCGAGGGACAGAGTAACACTCCTTTGAAAGGGTGAAAAAATAGTAACACTCCTTTGGTATCAGCTTATAGCATTATGGACTTTCAAGAATGCAACTGTAGGAGAATTGGAAGATTGAGGACCTCATGGACATATTCAAATCAAGGTAGGAGTTTTATTGGCTGTGAGAGATATGGGGTAAGATACCAAGATTCTGAAAAATCAATTTTTTTTTTTGGCATAAGACATCATAATGTTAAACAACATAACGACATGAAGGAGGCAAGAGGGTGCTATCATTTTCAATGGTATGATCTTCCAATGTGTGACCGATCGAAACATGTAATTCCTAGACTATTGCGATTACTACAAAGACAACAGAACCAAGAAGAAAGAGCGACAAAGCTGGCCAGTAAGTTAAAGGTTGCACTTTTTGTATCATGGATATTTTTCATTGCTACCTAAATTTTGAATGTTGCATAGCAGTGGGTGAAGATGGTGTACTAGTGATGTGGGGGTGTTGAGCATACCAAAAAGTTATGTGATTGCGTTGGGTTTTGATGTGTGTTGGCACAACTGGAACACAAATGTGATTTTTGTTCATGTACTTCATATCTGAAACCCTATCAGACCCAAGAACTAAAAATGTGAGTCTGATATAGCTAAATTCATATTCATATAAATAAATTGTTGTATGTATGTGTATATATATACACATACATTTTAATATATATATATATTACCAATATTACAGCTTCTGCAATAACAAAATCCAAAAAATAAAAAACAGCCAATCCCTTAATCTAAATGACTAAATCAAGCATTTGACATCATTTTTTCACCATCACCCAATTGCATACGTGCCTTGGAAACAACTTAGTTTCTCAATCTATTGTCTCTGTGGGTGACCGATTGAACAGCTAGCTTCTTGCGCACATCGTTCGACTCATCCTGAAACCAATAATATTGTTAGTGTATGACATACGAGAATAGGTGAAGTTAGTGCAATTTTAGTTCATCTATTGTATTACCAGAATAGTTTATGATCCAACCAAGACCTAACAAAGGTTCCTCTATGAATTTAATAACGAACATACCACAGTCGTGTCCATTCTCTTGTCTTGGAGCCCATCCGGTTTCTATCAAAGAGAATGTGTGGAGAATTGGCTTGTTCAAACCATCAGTACACTGAAGTAACGAATCAACATACGCAACCACCTTCTGCATGTCGATTAGTTGACGGTTGCTGTCCTTTAATGGCATAGAGTCGAGCAATACAACTTCACATTCAAGTACATCGATCATGCATAAGTACCAATGTTTATTATTGTCGTTCATTAGAATAAAAATTTGCATTAATAAGTCAATGATCCAATTACAATACATGAAAATGGTGAATGCAATTCAAGCATATATATATATATATATATATATATGAAAGTAAGATATATATCAAGCAACTTGTCACAATCTTGAAATTTTTTTATGTAATCAGACAGCTTAAGAAATGAATCATTTGTGCACGGTACAACAGCATTGGACGATACTCTTGCAATTGTCTGTTGCTAAATTTATTCACAAATATGGTGCAAACTAAGAAATTTATGCTTGTTGCATTGAAAAACATGATAAAGCCATTGATAAGGGTTGGATGAATTACTGAAAAGTATGTGGGCAGAAAGCATCTAATCTTCATATTAAACAGATTTGTCTTCCTCCCTTCCAGCATAATGTATGCACCAAGATTTATTATCTTTAAAACCACTATACGAAAAACCTCATCAATATGGACGTCTTTATCATATTTCTTAATCTAAAAAACATGAATATTCGATGTAACTCACCTCAGCACTAATGCATTGCAAAGGATCTAAACTCATCACTGACTTTTTGGTTGCGAACTCGTGATTGAATTTAGCCAATACCTCACTGTGCGATAGCCCAATTCTATTACTATATTATGTATGACACACGATTTTCAGACTCATGGGGATTAGACTATTATACCTCATATCTAGAGAAGCATAAAAAATGTATGCCAATATTGATGCATTATCAATAGTTGTGATTTCTTCTATTTCTGGGTACTCCACAATTACTGGTGGGAAACAGACACTCGAATATGAAATCTGGTTAATGGATGAAAATTTTAAGGTGCAAAATATTCTATGGATATTTCTTATGCAACAGCACTAAATACAAACCTTATGAAACTCTTCAATGGATGTGCTTTCCTTCAGTTCAAACCTTATTCTTTTATCCATTGCACTATCTGTCTTCAGTATAGGTTCAATGTCATTCTTCTTTCCATCCAATAACTACAAAATATAATGTCAAGGTTAGGTTCATGTGAGTTAAAGACATTAATAGTTGTGGATGCGAAAAAATTGTTGTGTTCAACATGACCCGTTACCTTAAAAAACTCGTTCGTTGAAGTGATGTGATTCCTAAAAATGCACTTTCTACTTAAGTCAATATTCACTTCATCCTTCACATCTTTGTGCTCGACCTTCTTCTGCGATTGATGATTCTGTTATTATAACTATGTCAATAATGTAAATGACATGTTTTCAGAATTTAATGAGTGTGAATAAATGACAACATACCTTGACTACTTCATATAGGGACTTCAACAATTTACTTATGGCATCAATGGACGCTGCCAACTTTCCTTCTTTCCTCATATTCTTATTCAATTGATGATTCTATACATGAAATAAGAAAAGTCATTACAAATTGGCATGTTCCATACAACATGAAACTTTAATTTAAAAAATATAATGTGTATCATACCTTCGACAGTACATAGGGTGACTTCACTTCAACCATTTACTTG